AATGACATTGAGCCTAAAGTTCATGATCTTAGAGAAGCTAAGTAATAATGTGAACCCAAAGAAAAACATATATAGACCCACATGGAAATTGGAAACGGACAAGATCTTCAGACAAAATTGGGGAGCATGGGGGCAGGGAGAAGGGGAGGGTTGTGGAGAACTTGGGGGAATGGGATAGTCCAATGTAGGAAGGACAGATATGAGAGCTTGGAAAGAGATATCCTGATTGAGGGAGCCATTTTGGAGTTAGCAAGAAACCTGGCTCTAGAAAAATGCCAAGGAATCCACATGGGTCACCCCAGTTAAGACCTTCAGCAATAGAGGAGACAATGTCTGAACTGCCCTTGCCCTGTAGTCAGACTGATGATTATCTTAAATAACTGTTATAGGAAGACCTGATTGTTTGTCACGGCCTCCCGACTAGCTTAGTCCCAAAATAACCACACAGGAAATGTATTCATTAAATCACTGCTTGGCCCATTAGTTCTAGCCTCTTATTAGCTAACTCTCACATCTTGATTTAAACAATTCTTATTAATCTGTTTATCACCATGTGGCAATGACTTACTGGGAAAGATTCAGCATGTCTGTCTTTGGTGGTTCCATCGCATTCCTCTGATGCTGCTTTCTTCCTCCCAGAATTCTAACTTGTCTTCCTTGCCCAATAAAATTCTGCCCTGTCAACAGGCCCAAACCTGTGTCTTTATTAATCAATGAAAGCAACACAAAGACAGGAGGCCCTCCTACACCATTTCTCCTTTTCTGTTTAAACAAAAAGGAAGGTTTTAACTTTAACATAGTAAAATTACATAGAACAGGCATCAATCAAGAATTACAGTTACAATATTTCTATTTATTTTATCTGTTATCGTAACTAAGGAAAATTATAACTATAAATTCTTCAACTCCATCAAAGACTCCTGAAGCATATAATATTACCTAAGAAATCAGGAAGTGCATTATAAACAACTTCCAAAACTCTAAAATTGACAGAAACATCTTTCTGCCAGGACAGTCACTCAAAGTTCTTCTTTACTGTTGGGGCATCCATCTTCAGCCCACAGAAGACTTTTCCATGAAATTCAAAGACAGTAGCACCTGTACTGACAATTTATCGGTCACTTTCTTCTGTGTCCTGCAGAATATCTGGCAGACTCTTTCATGAAGCTGGAACCCTGAAGGAGCATCTCACCTTTTTTTTTCTGGTTTTTCTCTGTGGCTTTGGAGCCTGTCCTGGAACTAGCTCTTGTAGACCAGGCTGGTCTTGAACTCACAAAGATCCGCTTGCCTCTGCCTCCCAAGTGCTGGGATTAAAGGTGTGCGCCACAACTACCCAGTGATCATCTCACCTTTTGTAAAGGTCAGTAGTCTTTTCTTTCTGGGGTCTGCATGTCAATTTTTTACAGCATACCATAAAGCAGTCCAGACAAGAGCAGTTTCTTGCCCAAATGGTTGACTAAGTCCATAAGGAGTCTCTTCAATGCCTGACATCATCTTGAAGTAGCATGGTGCTGCCAGGAGCAGATGTATCTCACTGTCATGAAAAGCCTTAAGTTCTTTTTTTTTAAGACTCTACTTGGAAAAGATTTATTTATTCATTAAGAATACAATGATCTGCCTACATGCATGCCTGCAGGCCAGAAGAGGGCACCAGATCTCATTACAGGTGGTTGTGAACCACCATGTGGTTGCTGGGAATTGAACTCAGGACCTTTGGAAGAGCAGGCAGTGCTCTTAACAACTAAGCCATCTCTCCAGCCCCTAGGCCTTAAGTTCTTAAACATTTTAAAAGCCATATTCTAAAGGTCTCTGAAAGATTTGAAGAATACCTAACTGAAATATATTTCTATACATCTAGAAAATCTAACTAATATGAGTGTAAACTTGACTATTATAAATGATTACTTATTAACCTATTTTTCTTAATTATGCATTACATTTTTAAATGAACTATACAAACACAATACCTTAATCAAGATCAGAAATACATATACATTAAAAAAATTGACCTTATATTTGTACCAATAAATGAAGATTCACACCAATGCACATTATTCATATCTATATCAAATCCACCTTTAAATATAAACAAGCATTTATAGTCAATATCTGGGAATATGGGCATAGATTTGTTCATACTGAATGCTGATGTTCGGGGGTGCCATTAATCAGGTCTTTCATGGTGTATCCGGTGTGCTAGGTTAATCTCAGTTAGCACTAGGGAAAAAGTAATTTTTGAGGGTGTTCATAGCAACCTTTCAGAGGGGCATGGTCTATCATACCATATTGGTCTAGAAGCAATCCACAGGTTCTCTACTTCTGTAAAAACAAAAGAAAAACCTTTTTTCCCAAGCAACATGTCCTTAGACCCAAATTTGAAAGTCATGATACCTTTATATATATATGCTGGTTAAGCTTAGCAGCACATACAATGAAATTTCTCTCTATGCTTTGCTCCTTTACAGTCAAAAGATTCAAAGAAAACACAATAATATACATAATCCAGACTCTCTGTGTATTCTCCATCTTTAAATGGTTTGTTTTTCTTTACTCCTTTTAGTCTATGACTATCTGTACTCTGTTTCATTAAAGACTTTTTCTTCTATCTTCCAAGTCTATGTACATTTATCCATCACTGTGACCCATTTAGAGTTTTTTATGTTTGAGACTGTCCTATTGTTAATCTGTAATTCTTTACTGTCCAGGAACACTTCTTAAAATGCTAAGTACTTCTTGAAGACAATTTTTGTGCCATTAGTAGGGGTAATATGATACTTCCTGTTTGTCTGCACAGTGGAAAACTTAAGGTGTGCTATTAGTATGACATATATGGTAGTTCCTGCTAGCTCTGCACAGTCTAGCATGGCAGAGCTGCTTGCACCTCTGAGTTGAGTACAACTCCCCAGTACTAGGTACACTGACAGTTCAAGTTGCCATAAAGTATGCTGCATGCTTCATGCTGCTCACAAATCCAATTCAAATGCTCTGTAGGGGATCTCCTGCTTGAAAGAGTCAGAGGTCACGCTGGCAGCCTGGCCCAGAAAGCCAGCATTTTAAAATGCCACGGCTTTTTTTCTGATACTGCTACTGAGTCAGAAAAACCTCTCCTTAAAAAGCTGCAGTACACTACTACCAGCAAACAGCAAAAAGTTGTATTAGACTATGTATTCTTCTGTCTAGAATTTTTTTAAGATTTTTAGGTTTTAATATAGATATAATCAACCATGTTGGAAAAAGGACCAGGCGGGTCAATGAGAACAGAAGAATTCTAGGAAGAAGGAAGTCCTTGTATGCAGTCCTGACCAAGCCACATAAGAAGCAAAATGTGACAGCCTCGTCCAATAAGGTACTGAGCCACGTGGCTAATATAGACAAGAATAATGGGTTAATATAAGTTATAAGAGTTAATAAAAAGCCTGCGCAAATGGGCCAATCAGTTTATAACTAATGAAACCTCTGTTTGACTTCTTTGGGACTTAACGACTTCAGGGACTGGGTAGGGCAGAAATCTCAGACAAAAAATATCACCATAGAACCTTTGTCCAACAACTGATGGAAACAGAGGCAAAGACCCACATTGGAGCACTGGACTGAGCTCCCAAGATCCAGTTGAAGAGTAGAAGGAGTGAAAATATGAGCAAGGAAGTCAAGACAATGAGGGGTTCATCCACAGAGACAGTTTGCCTGAGCTAATGGTAGAATACCAACTCCAACTGGACTGGGAGTGAATGAATATGGGAACAAACTAGTCCCTCTGAATGTGGTTGAGAGTTGGGGCAGACTGAGGGGCCACTGACACTGACACTGGGGTTTTCTTTACTGCATGTACTGACTTCTTGGGATCCTATGCTCTTTGGATGTATACCTTGCCCAATCTAGATGTAGTAGGGAGGGTCTTGGACTTTCCAGAAGATGGGGTGCATTGCCATCTCTTAGGAATGGGGGGGAAGGGGAAGGATGGAGGGAGTGAAAGGAGACTGGGGGGAGGGGAGGGAGTGGGAATTTGGATTGGTATTATTTTATTTAAAAAGTATTAAAAAAAAGTTTAATGAAAAAAAGAATTTTTTATTATAAATCTATACCTGAAGGGAAATGCCTATTTTATAAATATTTTATTGCAACTATTCCCTAATAAGACCGACTTTTAATTAATAAAAAAGATGTTGGAAGTATAGAAGCCAATCACAAAATATCACCCATATTATAACACAATTTATATGATATCCTCAAAATAAGGGAACAATGACGAAAGAAAGTAGATAAGGAGTTGGCAAAGTCTGAATCAAGTGGAAAGGTTAAAATATAGCACATACATCTGGTATATTGAACTTCTCTAAACTTTATTACAGTGGTTGATCCATACTTCAGAGATTATGCTATGAACCTCTGGACTATAGATCTAAAATTGATGAGTTGTGTGATACATGATTAACACATCACATACATTCGCATGGGGAAAAGTCACTGAACTATGAAAGAAGAAAATATGCTTCAGCAGTGTTGCCTTTATTTCAGGATTTATATCAACCTATATTTTTTAATAGCTCATTTTGTTTTTCTTTGTCTTTCCTTTCTTTTCCTCTCTCTCTCTCTCTCTCTCTCTCTCTCTGTCTCAGTCTCTTTCTCTGTCTTTTTTTTTTTTGAAACAGGGTTTCAGGTTTCTTTGTGTAGCCCTGGATGTCCTGGAACTCCTTTGTAGACCAGGTTGAGCTTGAACTCAGAAATCTGTCAGCCTCTGCTTCCCTAGTGCTGGGATTAAAGGCATGTGCCACCACTACCCAGCACAAGTTCATTTTCACTATTCTAAGAAAAATGTGTTAAAATCTCTAACAAATCAAAGACAAATTACTCATTGCAGGTCACTGAGAATCGGAAGTCATTTTACATGTTCACATCTGCCTTCTGGTTTTGCGCATGGCATCCAGAGACTATGACTATCTCATGTGCATTTACTTTGGTGGGTACAAATTATACTTTAACTAAGTATTACTCTTTCTATATCTATAAGAGTCGAGAAATCACCATTTGAAAGCAACTCTGAACTTAACCAAGATGTCTATGAAAATTACAGCAGCCCTGCTCCTGCTACAGCTAAGTAGCTTCTTTGGATCTGGGAGTGCTGGGAAGGTGCTGGTGTGGCCAATGGAATTCAGCCATTGGCTCAACCTAAAGATAATCCTAGAAGAGCTTGTGAAGAAGGGCCATGAAGTGACTGTTCTGAGACCTTCAGTTTACTTTTCTTATGACGTTGACAACACATCTGCTATTGAATTTGAAACATATCCTGCATCATTTTCCAGGACTGACATAGAGGAATTTTTCATAGAATCCTTCAATAAACACATTTATGCGCTGCCAAAGCAATCATTTTGGGGATACTTTGTAATGTTGCAAGAACTGTTTTTGTTCGAGTCCGAATTTTCTGAGCGTGTCTGCAAAGATGCAGTTTTAAACAAGGAACTTATTAAAAAACTACATAATTCAAGCTTTGATGTCCTAGTAGCAGATCCATTCTTACCGTGTGGCGACCTGCTGGCTGAGATTCTCAAGATACCTCTGGTGTACAGTCTCCGATTCTTTCCTGGCTTCAAGTACGAAAAGTACAGTGGAGGACTGCCACTACCTGCTTCCTATGTGCCTGTTGCTTTGTCAGAATTGAGTGATCGAATGACATTCATGGAGAGGGTACAAAATCTAATCTATGTGCTTTCTTTTGACTTTTGGTTACAAATATTTAACGAGAAGAGGTGGAATCAGTTTTACAGTGAAGTCTTGGGTAAGTGCCATGCTCATCTGGGATTGTTGTATTCAAAATTTGCTGTGTCATTGAAGGTGAACTTTAAAGAACAGGATAGACAGTTGTCAGTAAGAATGTAAAAAACCTGTGAAATTATCTGCCTGAATCAAAACTGTATAAAAACCTATGTCCCAATTGTAAATTAGAATGCCTAGTCTATGACTTGCAAATACACTTATGAATGGCACATATTCACCAAACAATGCTTTGTGGACTTTCTAAGCAAGTACATAGGCATTTGCTGTTTTATCTCATCTTTTTAGGACAGTTTTACCTGAGTGGAATGTATCCTTATCGTCATAACCATCATTAATATCATTATTATCTATTTGTGCACGGGTTGGGGGACTGTGTATCAACGCACACATGTGGAATTTGAGGATGTCTTGGAGTCTATTCTCTTTACATGCTTACACATATTCTGAGGATGGAAGCATGCTTGACACCTTGCATAGCAACTGCTTTAACCCATTGGGCCATCTGGCTGACCCCTAAAATAATTGTTTTAAACTAATTCAATGTCCTCTTGAGCAACAGACATATAGATTGAGAACTAAGAGATATTTCTACCACATTTACCTATAGAGCATGGAGAACACATCACTTCTAAGATAATTAGTTTTGTTATTTAAAATTTGAATACTTTCTGACTGTACATCATGAGTTTATTCACAATTGTGACACAGCAATTTTATGTCTCAGACATAGCAAGTGTGTGAATGACAGATTTTAGAGAATCCAGGTTCAGTCACTGGGTGTCTAAAATTCTCTTTTAAACCTTTAATGGTGCCAGAAAATGCTCACCAGGTAAAGGCACATCCTTCCACATACACACGTGCACGCCCGTACACATAAACACACACACACGCACACACACACACACACCTGCAATTAAGTAAATACCTTTTAAAATACTAATATGTTCACATTTGAACATGGAATTTATTAACTATAGAGTTTTAAATGGTTTCTTTTTTTAAAGGAAATATAGTAGGGAATAGATGTGTCGTTCCATAATCTATGACTTACCTTAGATTATTATTTGCAAACATAGGTATACATGCACTCAGCCATAATTTAAGAGTAGTACCAGGATAAGGGACATAGATGTAATCAAACTTCTCTTGGAAGTCAGTCAGGACAATTCAATGAGACTCTGTCTGAAACTGAAATTCTGAAACAGAATCCCAATAGATGTTTACACTGGGCACGTCAACACACATCTCTAATCCCAGCTGTGCAGGAAGAGGATCTGGAGCTCAGGGTCACCTTTGGCTACACAGTTGCTCCATCAAAATATGTATTCGAAACATACAAAACAGCACAAAATTCTCACTTCCCTAGAGAACCACACATCAAGGTTCCAGAAGCTAAAACAGGGCAAATTAGCTCTAAGGGGGTGTATCCCTGAGTATAACAAATGGGATTCATAGACAAAATGGCATTAATTATATTTAAATGGCATATCTAGATATCTGGTGATCATGAATTTCAAAGGTGTGTTACATATGTGTTATCTTCTCCAAAATCACACACACACACACACTATATCCCAGTCACACACTTATAAACAACAATGGTTACATTATCAAAGGTGCTTTCAGAAAACTACCTGCCATGTTCATCTCCACCTGACAATTTTGTCACCTTCACTTTTCTGATTCCTCTTCAGGAAGACCCACGACCCTCTCTGAGATCATGAGGAAGACAGATATATGGCTCATTCGAACCTATTGGGATTTGGAATTTCCTCACCCTGTCTTACCAAACTTTGAATACATTGGAGGACTCCACTGCAAACCTGCCAAGCCTCTGCCAAAGGTAAAATAAATCCCGGTTTGCTTTCTTCTCTTTTCCTTGCATATTTAGCAAAGGTGAATATCTTTCATTCCTTCAGAATGCTTGTGGCAAACTCAAAGTGTCACAGAAATTTAGACTTTAAAAAAAAACAGCCAGTAGAAATGCTTGTATTATTCCATCACAAGAGTCTGGACTTTCTGAAGCCCTGTGTGCCCTCAGGGAACAGGGACAGAGTATTGCTCAACACAGAGACAACCTCAGTGATTCATGCAGAACATACAGATAAGTGACAGGGCCACCCCACAGGAAAGTGCTGAGTACACAGAGATATAAAGTGTGCACAGCCTCACCCAGAAACAGCAGAAATTCTACTCTGAAGACAGACTGTGAGCAAGTAACAATGTGTCAATGAGGAAAGGCCAAGTTGCCCAGCAGTAAAAGTGAAGAATAGAGAAAGCACAGTTTGTCCTAGTGAAGAAAACTCAGTATCTCTCTGGTCACATAAATCTTCCCTTAATTAGTGACTATAAATGAATTCTATAAGTTCACAGATTTGTTTAGCAATATTATTTTAATTAGGCAAAGATGTGTGAGACTTGTATATACTGTAGACTATTGCTTTAACTGTGTAAAGGTGTGTTACTTTTGCTGCATTTGTTTAATTATGTAAAGATGTGTTGTGTTTGTTCGACCTTCGCTGTCCTTAGCACCTGATCAGTCTAATAAAAAGCTGGGATGGCCAATAACTAGGCAGAGAACGGGTAGAGAGACAGGGAAGGCAGGCAGAGATTAATGGGAGGATAAAGCTAGGCTTTAAGAGGAGAAGAATGAGAGAAGAAGGAGTTAATAAGGAGCATGCATGGGGCCAGAAGCCAGGCAGCTGGAGGCCATCCAGACACAGCAACAGAAAGAAAACAAGAAAAAGTGAAAAATTCCCCAAGGCAAAGATAGATAACAAGACACAGCTTAATTTAAGTAAAATTCACCAGCCAGAACCGTGCTTAAGCTAGGCTGAGCATTCAAAATTAATAAGACTCTGTATCGTGATTTGGGAGCTGGTTGGTGACCCCAAAGAAAAAATCTAGTACAGAGATTCTAGCTTCACATTAAGGAAATGGCAATACCAGTCAGAGACAAAGGAGAGAGGCAGAGTGAGGATCTAAAGGGTGTGCTGTGGCTGGGACTCAGTGGTGGAGAGCTGGCCCCACCTGTCCGTGCAGCAGAAAGGAAGGAAGAAGGAAGCACAGGCAGGAATGCTGTTTACTCCTCATAATTAGGAATAACATACATTGCATTGAAATCATAGGAAATAGTTTTCAGTCTATAATTTTCTAATGTTTTGATCCTTTAGGATGGGAATTATTCCTCCAAAGCACTTGCTTGCTCTCATTAGATACTAAAAATTTTCTGTGCATTTGAAAGAATAGATTTGACAAAAGGCATCAAGGATATAAAATTCAGGCCCCCTGGGTAGTTGGGGCTTAAAGGCACTGAAAACAAAGCCTATGAATCTACGTTGGGTCACGGGACAAAAATGACAAAAGGAAAGAGATAAGTCTCAAAAATTGTCTTCAGATCTCATATACACAATAAATAAATGAAATGAAGCAATTATACTAATGAAAATCATTAAAATGTACATTTTAAAACATTTTGTGAAACCAGATGGTGGTGATACATGCCTTTAGTATCAGCAATGCGGAGGCAGACGCAGGTGGATCTCTGTGAATTTGAGGCCGGCCTGGTCTACATATCGAGTTCCAAGACAGCTGAGGCTACAGAGAAGCCCTGTCTCTAAAAACAAAACAAACAACAGCAAAATATAACATGATTGTATAGGAAGTCACTCCATAGACCAGACTGACCTCAAACTCATAGGCATCCATCTGCCTCTGCCTGCCAAGTGCTGGGATTAAAGGTGTGTGCCACCATGCCTGGCATCATATTCAAATGTATAAAATATTTCTGAAATAAAGATTAGAGAATGTAGTAAGTAGTTTAAATGTAAGCAGCTCCCATAAGCTCATAGGAAGTGTCACTACTGGGAGGTATCACTTTGTTGGAGCAGATGTAACCTTACTGGAGGAAGCTGTCACTGTGAAGGCAGGCTGTGAGGTCTCCAGTATGTTCAAGCCATGCCCAAGATCTCAGTTCACTTCCTATTGCCAGTGAATAAAGATATAGAATTCTCAGTCCTTCTCTACCACCAAGCCTACCTGCATGCCGCCAAGCTTCCCACCATGATGATAATGGACTAATTAAGCCTCTAAACTTTAAGCCAGCAAAATAAATGTTATCTTTTATAAGAATTACAATGGTCGTGGTGTCTCTTCACAGCAATAGAAACCTTAGCTAAGACAGAGAACAATTAAAAGGAGAAATGTTTTGTTTAGAAATGGTAAATTGTTCCCATTGTTGTATTAAAAGAAAAAGGAAAACAGTATCTTGAAAGCAAGATCCAAAAATGAGCATGTACTTGAGGCAGGATTTCTAGGACAATTTTGGCTATGCATTGGATTTTGTTGTAAAAAAGCTCACTGAATAAGGTACAATTGTTCTTGTATGGAATCTGTAAGGCAAGAGCTAGGGGATCCCATGCTAGAATGACATTCAGACAATTCTTGACAAACATCCCAAAGGGAAAGTAAGGGACAGAGTCAGGGAATAGTTTCTTCCCAGAGTTAAGAGAGTGAACAAGCAAGACCTCAATCCAAGAAGGTCCTTTTTCATCAAAGAACCTACAACTATAATAAGATTCTGCCCATCCACTAAAACTGAGATATCTAGGAAACTGGTCTCCTTTATCCTCCTGCATTCTAATTAAACTTTAAAGGGTTGGTAAGGTCATTAAAATACAAGACACATCCTCAATAGCATCAGTAGATGGTTCAGTTCACACTCTCTGAGGAGTGGATGGGGGTGGGGCGGGTAGGTAGAGAGAATGGGAGGAGAGGGAGAGTGGGAACTGGGATTGGTATGTAAAATGAAAAAGGATAGTTTGTTTTCTTTTTAAAAAAATAAAAGAAATTTTTAAAAGTAAAGAAAAAAGAAAACTCATGTTGGACATTTATAAATCTTTCTTTGATGACAAAAAAATAAATAAAACAAAGTTTCAGTTCAATAACTATCAGTCAATCAATCCTACATGAAAAACATGATTTCACAGATGATCATAAATAAATGGACTAAAGTGAGAACTTCAGGACACCAAAGAAGAATCTGTCCCTCTTTGTAGTACGGTACCATAACTATTATGGAAAGAAAGTTATTTAAGATGTTTAGGATCAGAAATTTCAAAGGAAGGACTATGCAGTAAGTAAAAAATACATGAAGTATAATCATGACGGCATTTTGATAGCATTAACTCAATAAGATTCTATTAGAGCAGTGGTTCTCAACCTTCCTAGTGTTGAACCTCTTTAATACAGTTTCTCATGTTGTGATGAGCCCTAACCATAAAATCATTTCTGCTACTACTTCATGATCATAATTTTGCTTCTGTTTATAAACCATAATATTAATAGTTTTGGAGACAGAGGTTTGTCAAAGGGGTCATAACCCACAGGTCAAGAACTACTGAATTGAGTATAGCTTCTGAAATCTGAGTGCGCATGAAATCCCAAGATGAGCTGAGGAGCTATCATGTTGGTGTTTCTAGCTGCTGGGAGGGGAGAGAGAGCATCCACACTCTTCAATGATGTGATGCATGGTAGGTTGTCCATATACCAGGGCAGGCTCCACCACCAAGACTAGATGGACATCACAAACTAGACCCAGTGGGGAAAGATGAGAGAAAAAGGAAAATTTCTCGAGGTTTAGAGGAAAAGAATGGAACAGTAAAGGGAAGAATTGTTGGAAAGAGAGGTTTTTTGTTAAAATACATTGAATGAAATTCTCTAATAATAAATAGAATATTGCTAAAAATTTGAGTATGCAAGAAAGCAGTGAATAAACACAAAATTCAAGGATATGAAACAAGAGCCAAGTCCAGAACAAAATTGTTTTGGGGGTTTCTGTCCTGCCCAGTTCCCACAATCATTAAGTCCCAAAGAAATCATAGAGGTCTACATTAGTTATAAACTGATTGGCTCATTAGCTCAGGCTTCTTATTAACCCTTATAACTTATATTAGCCCATTATTCTTATCTGTGTTGTCACATGGCTTGGTACCTTTTTCAGTGAGGCAGTCACATCTTGCTGCTTCTGTGGTTGGATCAGGACTACAGAGGAATGGGCTTCCTCCTTCCCAGAATTCTCCTGTTCTCATTGACCCACCTCTACTTCAGGTCTGGTTGTCGCACCTAAACTTCCTGTACGGCTACTGACCAATCAGCATTTATTTAAAATATGATTGACCGAATACAGGCCATTCTCCCACACAAAATGACTTGAGAAAAAACTGATATATTTTTCCCTTAGGGTTTCTATTGTGGTGAATAAAAACCATGACCATGGCAACCCTTGTAAAGGAAAATATTTAATTGGGACTTGCTTACAGTTCAGAGGTTTAGTCCATTCTCCTCAAGACAGGAAGTATGGCAGAATGCAGGAAGACATAGCACTGGAGAAAGAGTTGAGAGATCTACATCTGGCAGCAGGAAGAGAGAATGACACTGAGCCTGGCTTGAGCAACTGAAACCTCAAAGCCCCACCCCCACTGACACACTTCCTCCATCAAGGACACAGATTCTCCAACAAGACCATACCTCCTAATAGTACCATTCACTGTGGGTCGGTAAGGGCCTTTTTATTCAAACCACTATAGTCTGGTCAAAAAAATATTTATTTCAGAGATGCACAATTGCTTTCTCTGCTTCTTAAAGGAAACATACAAGAATAAGCACTTTCTTGCCAACAAATACATATTTATAAATCCTATATATACATATACAGTTGCATATGTATATATAATAAAGGAGAGTAATATCAAATATGAAATATCTTTCCAAAAAACTGATTAATCTCTACTAAAATACAGCCAATACTGAAAAGAAAATGGAATTTTCAATGAATTAAAAATAGATTTTGTGCACCACTCCTAAGTATTTACGTAAGAGAAGTGATTGTTGGATCTCAAGAAGATAGCTGTGGAAGGGTAATTATAGATGAAGCAACAACCTAGGAACCAAATAATAGACTTTAGCTAACAACGACAGTATATCCATACAAAAACATATAGCTAAGCCTTAAAATCTAGGGAATGAGGACATATGACGTAACCTGTAAGAACTATGATGATATCATATCAAGTAAAATAATATGAAACTATCAAAGGAATCATCATTATACCTGGACTAGTCAAAATTATAAGAATATAAACATAAGTTACAGTAAATTAGGAAAAGAAAAAGAGAACTTTGGATTAAATTATTGCAAATTTGTTATTTAATATTATAATGAAAAAAAGATGGCTGTGTCTAAGGCTGTTTGAGCATGCACATATGTGTAATACAGAACTGAAACCTTCTAAAAGGCTACAGCTCTATATCTTATATGTGGATGTGAAGAGTTTTAAAACACCCACTACTCTAATCATGACTAATACTGCTCGGTTTCTTCCTGTGGATGTTGGTGTCAGTTTTAATGCAGGTTGTTTGGTGTTGCTGGTTTTTGTGATGGGTTGATATTTCACCAACAGGAAATAGAAGACTTTGTCCAGTCTTCTGGAGAACATGGTGTTGTGGTATTTTCCCTGAGGTCCATGGTGAGTAACCTAACAGAAGAAAGGACCAATGTGATTGCTGCAGGCCTTGCACAGATTCCACAGAAGGTGAGATACAGTGCTTCAGAGATTCATTCTCACTAAGATGGTCATATCCTATTCACGTGTGATTTCAGAAATTGCCTATGGGAAACTAAAGGTGTCATGCTAGCTATAGCTCATGCCTGAAGTCACCCGTAACACAGAAATACGGGACAAATGCTAAATAATATGTGCTGTAAGATACATTTTGGGGTGAATTCTGTCATGGTTCAGCCACAAAAAAATCATATATTCCACGGTAGAGGTGTATGGATTAGAAATGTTAGGCACGAAGGACAGAGATACAAAGGAAATACAGAAATACAGGATAGTATTGAGAGGACAATTCAGTGAATACTGAATACTAAATTTGCCAAATTTTACTTTTTATAAGCTTTATACCCCAATAAAAAAAGGAAAAAGGCAAAAGATTACTTTAACATGACACAAAAGACAACCAGAACACTTACTAGCTTCAATACATGAGACATCAAGTCATTATTTTCTGAGTAAAGCATCTGGTGCTTTGGGCAGGATGTGCAATGAATATACCCTACTCCAAGTATCTTTGGCAACCACCCCGATGTCAAACCTCCTGTGTAAAAATGAAGGAGCAGGTATAGGCTTGAATTCTTTGACCATGGTCAGGGTGGAACGAATCCACCTTTGTGGGCCATCTTAAGACTTAAATCACCAAGTAACCACACCCTAGGTCAGGGTATGTAGCCACACCTGTTTTCAACTACTTTGAAAGAACAAAAATAAGCTCAAACTGTTTGGCTTCCAGTCAAGGAGGAACAGGCTCACATCTGTGCCTCCTGCCAAGTATGCAGTGTTTTTGATTAATAGGTTTGATCTTAATATTGTGCTCAGAAAGAAAACCACTTAACAAGTGCTGGTGGACTCGGTATTAGGAAGGTATTATAGGCAGAAACACAGAATTTGCCTTCATACTTCTTCCATTTCCTTGGAAAAAAACTGGGAACTCTGCACACACCACAATGTAATCGGACTACTATTAAATTTTAACCAGTAAGTGCACTGGACTGGTAGCAATAAGCAGAAAATTGGAAGTGGTAGGAGAGGAGAGGAGGAACATTCTTGAAGAGCATGTGTTGCTCACCCAGAGGACCTAATCTTACTTCTAAGGCCCTGTGTCTGGCAGCTCACAACTTCCTATAACTGCATCCCATGGGATCCAAAGCACTCTTCTGCCTCAGATGACGTCCATAGGCACTTACCATGTATATGAACTAGTAGACATGCCCAGTCGCTCCTATACACACAGGCAGTCGTGCAGATGCAGACACACAAACTTACACATAAATAAAAATAATTCCTTATTTCTGCTATTCTGAATTCACTTTTCTGTTTTCGTATATATGCATATATACATATATATATATATATATATATATATATATATATATATATATATATCAGTAGTTCTCAACCTTCCTAGTGGTTTAATACAATTGCTTATGTTATGGTGACCCTTAACCATAAAATTATATTTGCTGCTTCTCCATAACTGTAATTTTGCTACTGTTATGAATTGTAAAGTAAATATGTGACATTCCTGACGATCTTAGGCAACCTCTGTGAAAGGGTCATTCGATCCTCAAAGGGGTCAAAATCCACATGTTGAAAACCATTTGTTTAGATGATTGCTACTTTCCTAAAAACAGGGAGAAAGACAGAGTATGGATCCAGATAGGAGGGGGGATGACAATCTGGGGAAAGTTTGGAGGAGAAGAAACTATAAACAGAATATAGTATATGAAAAAAAACTCTTTTAATTAAATAAAAACATATAACATAAATTTTAAAACTGGAATGGGTGTTGCATCATATTCCTTTGTAATCTCAATAAAATATGATCAACCACATTTTTATTTAAATAACATTTTTTCATGTATTTTACAAGCCCACTGCAGTTTCCATCATCCACATTTCAAAATGGGCCTATGCATGGTACTGCTTGCTCTGCTATTCAAAAAAATAAAAAAGGAAGAAAGAAAGAAAGAAAGAAAGAAAGAAAGAAAGAAAGAAAGAAAG